TCCCTCTGCCCCTCCCCGCCTCTCCCCCACCCGCTCATGCACACACTCTCTCAAATAAATAAAATCTTTAAAAAAAAAGGGGGGGGAACAATGGCAGGAGGACAGAGGGGGATAGACCCTCCCACTGGGGTCACCCCCAGAGCCCAAGATCATGACAATGTTTGTAGAATAGCGCTCCAAGTCAGACCGCAGAAGGCCCAGAGTCCTCCAGAAAGGATCCCACCTTGGCAAAGGCCTTCAAGGGTGGGGTCTGACTGAGGGGGTCTCTGGAAGAGCAGTACCCACTGAACCTGTGCTTGAATGCAGGCTGCTCCCCGCCCCCGGGGCGTCGTCAAATGGACCCTGACGTACTAGATGAAGGTCCTACTGATTTCCAGGCTCAGTTTCCTCATCTATAAAATAGGTCTCCCATTTGCCTCACAGGGATGCTATCACCAATAATGCATATTTTTTAAAATAGCATTTAACGGTGGCATGTGACAAATGTCAGTTTTCTCCCTTCCTTGGGGTTTTCTGCATTGTCTGTGTATTGATCAGGAGTCTTTTAATTTGGAAGTGACAGAAACCAGCCTGAAACAGCTTGATGGCCCAGATTGATGGGCCAGGCAGAGAAGGGCTAGGAAGAACTGGCTTTGGAGATGCCCGGGATCAGGGCAATTCTGCCTCTTCTCCAGGCTTCTCTTCCTTGCGGGGAACGTGGCTCCTGAAGGCTCCAGTCCCACAAGCTTGCACTTCCAAGACTAAGAGGAAAGATCTGTTTCCCTGCTCCTGCCTGATAACTCCTCCGGGGGAGTGCTCTGGTTGGCCCAGCCTGGATCACATGTTGGAAAGGCCTTCCTCATCCAGAGTTCCTGGCACCTCCCTGAGCAGGTGGCTCTTGGCACCCTGAGCTGTGTCCCTCCCAGAGAGGAGAAGGAGGCAGTTAAGGAAGCCTGTCCCCTCTTGGCTTTCCTTTGTCCTCACTGCAGGTGGCACTGCTCTAACCTCCCCCTGCAACTCAGTGGAGGCCTTCAGATAAAAACCACCTTTCCCACCAGTCTGTAAATGTTCTACCCACAGTCAGAGGCTTCCTTCGACCATGTGCTTTGGAAAGATCTGAGGCATTCGTAAGTGTACTCCATCTAACTCCATGAATTAAAAAATATTCCTCTGCATCTCTGATTTTTAAATATCAACCAGTGAGGAAATAGGATTCACTTAAAACACCTGGTTTGGCCTCTCTGACCACCTGCATTTTATTAGTACTTGTCAAAATACAGTTTCTGGTGAGGAAAAGCACCTCCCACACATGGCCTCCACCACACTGAACTTAAACAAGAGAAGCAAGGTCCTCTAGCAAGAGGAGGAAGTTAGGGTTACCCCTGACCAAAGATGGGTAAGTTGAGGCAGACCAGGGCAGGGCATGATGGCAGATTACTGCCGGCCCCTGCATAGTTCTGGGCTTTGGGATTCCGCACGTAATGATGGGCTGTGGTATGAAACAGAGATGGGAGGGAGACAGAGCAGCCCAAGAACAAGGCCCACGCCAGAAACTCGGCGAGGCGCTCGGCAGGCCCCCCCTCCCCACACCCCTCACCCAGAGGTGGCCTGGTCACACTGCAGCCAGGGCAGGGAGGTGAATGGCACAGCGCAGACACCAGGGGAAGGCACAGGAGCGGAGGAGCGAACCAGGGATGGGAGCAGAGTGGCGTGAGCAGGGCCCGGTGTCTCCTCCCCCAAGGCGGGTGGCCAAGCGAGGCAGAGATTTCCTGGGCGACCCGGAGGGGAGGGGAATGAAAACGCCCCCGTCCGGCCACCCGCTCCTCGTTGCCAGAGCAGGAGCCCAGGTTGCGGCCTGGTGAGAAACGAGACTGGAACGGAAAGCTGGGGCAGTGAGACGGGGTGACGGCAAACAAAGGCCTCTGGCCGGGGGTCGCGCTCAGGCCGCGCGGGGCCCTCGCCGGCCGCCCGAGGCCAGGCGCCGCCGCTTCCTCGCCTGGGCTCGGCCCCCTTCCGCCGGAGCTGGGGGCTGGGGGGCGGGGGGCCCAGCTCCGGGGCGGGGCCGGGGGCGCGGCCCGACGGGCGAGGGGCGGCGAGGACAGCCCCGCCCCGCCCCGCCCCGCCCCGCCGTGTCCCTGGCGACCGAGGCCTCAGCGCCGGGGCGGGGGCCGCGCGCGGGTGTCTACGCCGGTTGCTACGCAACGGCCGGGTGACGTCAGGCGATTGAGTTTGGTTCCCAAGGTAACTGGCCGGGCAGCTGGGCCGGGAACTATTTGCGTCTGTCCCCAGAGGGGCTGCGGAGCCTCCGGGGTCTGGCGCAGCGGAGGAAGTGCGCTGCTGGCCCGCGGGCAGGCGGGGGGACAGAACACAGAGGCCCTTTCAGCTCTCGGAGGCCGGCGACCCGGGCGGGGCGGTGTCTGAGCCCTACCGGAGGACGCCCCTCCTCCGCTCCCGGCCGCCCCCGTTTTCGCCCCACGCCTGAGGGGGAGGCCCCCGGATCGGCGGGCTTTGTCTACTTCTAAACGCTCCCCTGGGTAAACTCTAGGAAGAAAGGGGCTTCTGTTTGTAGCGGCCCGGCCCTCCCTGCACACAGTAGGCGCTCAGCACGGCATTCCCGTGGGACCGTGGACGTTCGCTGCCCTCTCAGAACCCCGCGTCAGGTTCTGACCTCCCAACGCCTCCGTACCTGGCCTCGGTGCCCCGGTGAGCTCATCAGCAGGCTGGCTCCATGATTTGGGGGGGCCACAATGCAAAATTAAATGAGAGGCCCCTTGGTCAAAAATGACCGAGGGACAATGCAGGAAACAAACCCTGGTCCTGCCCACTGAGGACGGACTGCAAGAGCGTGGAAGTGACACGTCCGTGGGAAACTGAGGCAGGGGACATCAGTCACAGAGGAGAGAAGATAAGGCTCAAATCTGGAGTGGAAGAAGGTGAGGGCCAAGACACGGCAGGAGCAGAAAGACCATCAGGTGTGCACAACCCAAGCAGTGACCTAAATCTGAGCAGTGACCAGCTCAAATCAGAGCTGGCCTCAGGTTGCCTGGGGGACCCCTAGGGCTTCAGAGGGGTGTAACTGGGTCTCAGGACTTAGGCGATGCAGTCTAGCCTGGCTTCTCAGGCTCTTCCCTCCTAATGACATCTGTTGCAAGAGGATAACATCAAGCCTCCCACAGTCTGTCTCCAGGGAGCCACCACCACCTCCCCCAGCACAATGGGCCAGACCAGGCTGCATCCAGGAACGTGGATATCTGGGCCCAGGTCTCAGAGAACTGGTGTGCATTGACATGGAGACCAGCTATTTGCCCAGGAGCCAGGGCATGCTCTGTCCGTCCCACCCAAGGGAAGCATCTGCCCCATCCCTGTAAACCTTCATTTTTGTCAACAGTCTGACTGCTGGCCAGGGGCTCGGAGGAGCAGAGGTGTCTAGGCTGTCTTTCCTGGGCAGTGAATTGCCACAGCCTGATCCTCACTGGAGAAAAGCCTGCAGCCCTCGTCCTCTCCTCTCCTCTGGGTGAAGCAGGCTCCGTGATCCCCGTTTCACACACATGACCTGTTCTAGGACGCACCCGGGCTCACCTCCCGCCCAGATTCGCCAGACTCTCCCAGAGGATTCCTTGAGAATGGGTCCTGGGCCTAGGAACCAGAGCTGGTGCGCAGAACCAGCTACACAATTTGGGGGGCCTAGGGCAAAATGAAAATGCAAGGTCCCTTGTTCAAAACCTATTAAGAATGTCAAGATGGGGCGGGTGCATCTGTCTGGCTCAGTTGGAAGAGCATGCGGCTCTTGATCTTGGGGTCATGAGTTTGAGCCCCACGTTGGGTGTAGGGATTACTTAAAAATAAATAAAAACATGTCAAGATGGTGACAATTGAGCATTGAACTAAGCATTGGGGCCCTGGGTGACTGCATGGGTTGTACACTCACAAAACCCGCACCACCCAGCTGGCAAGTCCTAGACACCAAGCAAGGTGTCTTCCGGCACAGAGTCCAACCTGCTCCCTCTGTCAGGGTCCATCTGTTGGCCTCTCCCCATGCTACGGCCGGCCACCTCTGGGGGTACTTTCCTAACCACCCATTCAACAAAAACAGCTGAGGTTCCTCAGGCCCACCAGATATCGCATGGAGGGGATGCGTCCAGTGCTTTCCCATCAAAGGACCCAAATCACAGAATACTTCCAGAAATGTTCATTTATGCAAATGCTGGATGATTGGTTCTCTATTTTCAGCTGAAGAACACTTGCTCTTGAGAAAAATATATAAGGGGCATCTCTGTTAAGATGCTGAAATGTGAAATGTAGCAGCTGATTGATGAGGGTTTGGCACGAATCAACACTCAAATAATATATAAGAACAAAAGTCAAGCGTGTGTTTGCAGCCTCTTAAGGTCTATGGCACACCCACAGTTCATCTCAGTCTGCCCTCAGGGAACCAGGGAAGGGAACCTCTGCCTCAGGCCATTGGATTCATCTTCACCCTAGGATCAGGCCCTGCAATAGGGACAATGGTGAAAGACCTCCCCTGCATGGGAGCTTCCCAAGGTTCAGCTGGGCCTGAAGCCCTACTTCTCCCTCCTTCTCCTGCCACCTTCCCGACCCTTCCATGGATGTGACCCCAGGAGAGCTCCCTGATAAACCTCCTGTACACTAGTCTATGAAGTCTCTCACCCACCGGAGGCACCCATGGGCCCTTCCCACCTCTTTAACTGCCCTATAACAGTTGTTCTTTCATTTGTTCAACAGATCTTCACTGAAGGCCTACTATGCACCAGATGGTGTTATAAGTCCTGGGGGTAAAGCAGAATAAGGCAAGTAAACACTCTGCCTTCATGGAGCAGACATAAAGCAACCAAAAATATAATGCAATAACATCGAACTTAGAAGTTCTATTAAAAATAAACAACAACAGAATGATACAATAAAGAATATCTGATCTGAGCTGGGGGCAGGTACTTTAGATCAAACTTCCTCTGGGTCAAGGAAGCCCTCTCTGAGGAGGCAATATGAGGCCAGGCACTCACCAGTTTGAAGGACAAGCATCGACCAGGCAAGTTCAAAGGCTCTCAGGTAGGAAGTTGGGTTGTTGGGTTCACAGGAACAAATGGTCCTAGAATAAAGCAAGCAATGGGAGGGGCACCTGGGTGGCTCAGTTTGTTAAGCGGCTGCCTTCGGCTCAGGTCATGATCCTGGAGTCCTGGGATCAAGTCCTGCGTGGGGTTCCCTGCTCATCGGGGAATCTGCTCCCTCTGACCCTCCCCCCTCTTGTGCTCTCTCTCTCTCAAACAAATAAATAAATCTTTAAAAAAAAAAAAAAAAGCCAGCAATGGGAGATGAGGTCAGAGGCAAGGCCAGATGATTCAGGGCCTGGAAGAAGAATCCAGAAGAATTCAGCTCTTATTCCGAATGAGGTGGGAGCCATGGGGCAGTTTTAAGCAGGGCAATTATGGCAGTCACCTGTTTAAAGCCTCACTCTGGCTACTGGGCAGAGACAGGACTCACTGTGTGTTTCACCTGCTCTTTGGCACGTGTTTGCCCTTTGGCCTGATTGTTACTAACTGGTATTTGTGCAATAGCCTCTCTGCTCCTTGAGGTTGGAGGCCAGTCCTGAGACGTGTTTGGATCCCCGCACCACCTTGCACTGAGTAGGTGCTCAATAAATATTTACAGGTCAACCAGCTGACCCATCTGTGTCCCCAGTGATCTTCTGGAGTCTTGCTTCTTGGACCAGCATCAGCGCCACCTGGGAGCTTAGAGGAAAGGTAGAAACCCAGGCCCCCCACCCAGGCCTCCTGAATCAGAATCTGCAATTTAATAAGATCCCCCAGAAATTCGGATGCATGGTAAAGTTTGAGAAGCACTTCTAAAGAGCAGAATAACTGGAGGGCCAGACAAGGAGGTGGGAAGGTGGAGGTGACCCAGGAGGTGAACCCAGGAGGATTAAAGTGAATCCCTTAAAGGTTGCAACCACCCTGAGTCACTGAGTCTGAGAGGAGCTCGGACCAGTAAAAAAGCTAATACTTACTGGGTGCTTTCTATAGTCAGACACCGGTTTCTCAATCTTTTACACGCATTAACTAATTCAGTCTTCACGACAGCCCTCCAAAGTGGTACTATTACAACCACCATGCCCATATTGCAGATGAAGAAACCGAGGCCCCGTGAGGTTGAGGTTATTCCAGAATCTTCAGCAGGTACACGCGCATTTGGCGGTGCCCGGCGGTTAGAGCAGGGCCTGTTCTGATTGGTGGCTGCCTGCCCTACTGATTATTCAATGTTTTGAACGTCGCCCTGGTTACCGAGCTGCATGGAAGACTCAGGATCCAAATCAGTCCACCGCGCTGGAGCCCCAAACCACGATCCTCTATCCAACTAGCGCCATCACCACCCAGAAACAGCACACCGTAGGGACAAGTAATGTGTGTCAAAATGTTTTGCAAGCTATAAAACCCAGTGTGATTGCTAAGTGCGTAGAGTCCTCCAGGGCAGAATTGCGAGAAGCCTGTTAAAGCTGCAGAAGCTGGGCCGCCAGAGGTCAGAGGAGAGACTGCTATGGGGGCGCAGCAGTTTCTCTGCTTGCTCCAAGGGGAAACTGAATCAGAAGGAAAGGCCTCCCTGAGTGGAGCCCCCAGGATCAGCCCTGAGGAGGCTCTAACTTGCCAGATACCCTCAGGCACTAATCACGTTAGCCTGGGCGTGTCTTCAAAGACTGACGGGACCCTCCTGGTATCGACCGCTAGAGGGCGCTGCTCCCCAGCCTTCGCCCCATTGGACCCCACCTGCTCACAAGAAACTAGGACTTGGAAGGAGTCCTAGTGAGCAAGCACCAGGGACTTCGAGAAATGGAAAAGGAGGGAAGGCATGAGGGAAGCGGGACTTATACACCCTTTCAATCCCCAGAACACTCTGGTGCAGGAGCTGTTGTTCCCATTTTACAGATGAGTTATCTGAGGGCCAAATATGTTGGACAAGATTCCCCCAAACCAGGACGTTAGGGAGAGGTAGGGCTGGGTCATCTGATTCCAACCTCAGTTCCCAAGGGGACCACAAGTAGATGTCAGCTCGTCTGACCCTGTCATGTCGCTGGTGTCCCTGCTTCTGTTGACCCTGTGTTCTGAGCAGAAGCCAAAACCTCTCTACGTTGCTGTATTTTCCTGCTGTATTCCAGCAACAGTTCCAACAGCCAGCACTCATAAAAACGGCCCCTTCCTGAAACTTTTGAGGTCATGGTCTCCTGCTTCATTGTCCTCCGGCCTTCAGGGACCCCCACCTGCCGTCCCAACACAGCAGCCTCGGATTCTGGCAGATTCTGGGGTCTCCTCTGATCCCTGACCCTCTGATCCTAGCCTCAAATTCTATATCCCTTCCCCACCCTAGGGACCCCACAGGTTTAGGCTTTGCCCCCTGGTACCCCACGGCAGGGAGCAGCACAAATAAACAAGGGGACATTTGAACCAAGAAGAGCCTGTGGTTGCGGCCAAAGACTTTTTTCTCCCACCAACTCCTTTTATGGCCTCTGGGTCCAGTTCCTTCTTCATAACAAGTCGGAGCTGGAAAAGGCCTCCGGAGTCGTTAGGTCCGACGTGAACCAACACTTTCCTTCTCTACATAAAAAACCCCCGCCGTGCTGCAGCCAGGTTCACAAGACGAGCTAGGCCAGGGCAGGAAGCGTCCCGCACAGGAGGGAAACTCCAGTCCCGGGCGGAACCTGGGCACGTCGTCCGCCCAGGTGGCCCAGTCCCCGCACCTGCAAGACGGAGTGCGGGTGGGGGCCCAACCGCCGCTTCGACCAAGGTCCCGCCCCCAGCTTCTGAGCTTCTGTTTCTAAACCCCGGGACCGCCCTAACGAACATCTCTTTCGGCCCCTCTCGGCCGGCCCCTTTCTTTCGCTCTGCCCTGGGAGCTCTGGGCAGCCCGCGCGTGTCTGTGCGCACGTGCGTGTAAATGATCCTGTATGTGCAGGAGGAGCGTGTGTGCGCCTCCGAACACGCGCCCGGGCCGATGCACGGGTCTGCGTGCGCCCCCTACGGTTTGGCCACCCCCGGCTGCCGCAGCTGCCAGGGGGCCGTGTGCAGCGCTGCGTGTGCCGGGCGGGTACCAGCCCGGGCCACCCTTCCGTCGCCTCGCGGCCGAAAGCGTCCGGACCACGGGGGCTGCTGCTTCTCTGGCCCCAGGCACGGGCCTCCCTTCCCGATCCAGCATTTTCTGTTTTCCCGGGCCTCCACCCCGCCCCTCGTCCTCCGCCCGCCAGGAGCGCTCCGGGGCGGGGGCTGGGAGCAGCCCCGCCCGGCCCGGCCGGCGAGGGTGGCAGGGCTGCGGGGCGCGCGCCTCCTCTCCCCTGCCGCCCCCGCCCCGGCGCCCCGCTGGGTTTTTCCATGACTGCATCCGGCCGCGGGCCGCCTTTGTTCCCGCCGTCCTTACGAGCTGGCCCGCCTCTCCTCTGTGCGCCGGGGTTTTTCCAGGGCTCAACTGGAGCATGGCGGAGGCGCGTCCTGCGCCCGGGTCGGGCGGCGCCCCCGGCAGGACCCCCGCGATCCCCAGCGGGAAGCCGAGCCCTCTCCGGACATAATGCTCCGTCCCTCCTGTCCCTAAAGCCAAGGCCTGCGGCCCTTGTGCGCAGTTGGGTACATTTGTGTGCAAAGTTGACCACCTGGCCCGCGCGCCTCCGCTCTTCGGGAAGCGCGTTTGGTGCCCCGTGTCCCTCCCCTGGCTGCGCGTTGTGCGGCGGTCAGATGGGTGCAGTGTTTGCGGAGCCAGAGCCGGGCCGCCCCGGCCTCCGGCTCGTAGAAGGGCCTCACATTTCCCCCAAAGGGCAGGAGGCGCAGTCGGGGAGGGAGGAGGCCTGGCCTGGCCGACCCCACTGCGGGGGGGGGGGGGGGGTCCCAGGCGCGCACCGGACCAGGCAGAGCTGGGAGACACCGAGCGTCCACCGCGTGCAGGCGGCCCCCGCCCCCACGGGAAAGCGGGCACACTCGTCGCAGCAAGCGCCAGAGCGCGGGGGACTCCTCCGGGCCCGGAGCCCCCTCCGCAACAGCAGGGAGGACGGGGAGCTAGGCGGGAAAGGGGGGTGGTGGTCTAGGGAGTGAGAGCAGGCACGGGATCCTCACGGGCCGCGTGGGCACTGTGTGCCCGCAGCCCCATCCTGTCCACACTGCCGGAGCCAGTCGGCCCCCGCGGAGCTCCGTTCAGTTTGGTCTCTGGGGAACGGTGGCATTGCGCCCCCGGGGAGCCTCTCAGCTGCTACTCGGCCATGTTGGCGGGAAAAGCGGAGGAAACACTGTGTTTGCTTCTGAGTGAGGCTTGCTGAGCCCTACCACAGAAGGCGGACTCGCAAGGTGGCCTCCAGCCCGGGGTATGGGGGTGAGGGGGGCGTCTGGGCAGAGGAAGCATTTCTGCATTAAGCGGGTGTCTGGCTGTGGGGGGAGGTTGGAGTCCGTGGCTGGCCCCTCCCCACAGCCGGACAGGAGGCGGCCTCACGTGGCTAAAGATCAAGAGGTAGGGGTGGGAGGAGGAGGAAGGATAAGGAACCATCCAGATCCAGGGAGGCCCCGGGCGCTCTCTCTGTGGGGGTAGGAGGGAGTGCCTGCTCCTTTCCTCCTTCCCTCCTTCCCTCCTTCCCTGGTGCCTTATCTTGTTTTCTCAGCAGTCATGGGGGAGCCTGACCACCCTGAAAGGGTGGCTGGAAGCAGGACGGAATCCAGGCCCCCCGATGGTGACATCCTGGCTTCTCCTTTCTTCTCACCACACCCTGCCAAGGGGGGCAAGTTGAGTTCAAGGTCTTAGGCAATAGGAGTGGTTCAAATGGCAAACCACAGTTCTTACCAGTCCTACCTGGCCGGGGTTGGCAGTGGGGACAGCAGGTTGGAAAGAGAATCTATCCGCTGACAACAGCACTCAGCTGTGCCTTTGTCCCCAGCTGTCTTGTCCACCATTTGCCCTTCATTCTCTCTGCTCTTGACCAGGCTCAGAATCTTAATCCCAGGCCTCAACCGTTATCCCTGAGTTCTCTCATCTATAAAATGGGGATACGAAGGGTGTCCGTCGGTTAGATGAATGTATATGTGTTTAATATATGTAAAGAGCCTGGCCCATAGCAAATACTATACAAACATTTGCTATCATTATTTAAAGTTAAGCGACTCGTCTAAGGTCCCACAGTAAGTGGCTAAGTTTTGATTCCAGCCCAGGTCACCTGGTTTCAGAGCTGTGCAAGCCCAATTTTGCACTAGCAGAATTGGGAAACAGTACCCATGTACATAGCTCATCTGCAAAGTAGGGGAAATCATAGGTGTTGGGGGTAGGAGACATTTTTCTAGGGAAGGGCCCACATTCATAATAGTGATGTCTGACCTAGTTCCCACTTTGTGGCTGTTACAATTGGTATATGGCTTTTTAAAATTACATATGTTAATCGAGAAATTTACGACAAGCCGATAATTACCTTGATGGTAGAAAACTCTAGGTCCTTCCAGCAGTAATGCGAATCCTAGGACATTTCATTTCATGTTTATTGATTTGTTTTTTGCCTGGCCTTGCGGCAGATGCTGTGGGGGCAGGGAGAGCATTCTTGGGAGGCACAGAACTCACTTCACTGCCTTCTTGTGACAATATCTATGTCTCTGTAATGGTGATATCTTTAAGTGCCAACAAGACTAGTTTAATTAACTAGCCATTAATAGCTGATGGGCAGACCCAGATGGTCCCATGATCTTCTTGCCTCTCTAAAACCAGCTGGCTAAATGAGGGTGGGACTTGTTCTAGCCAATGGAATAAGGCAAAGGTGATGGGATGGCTATGGTCATGTGCATCTGATTACATTATATGAGATTGCAATGACCGTCTCGCTCCGATACCTCCCCTCACTGGCTTTGAAGAAGCAAGCTGGGGGCGCCTGGGTGGCTCAGTCGTTGGGCCTCTCTGCCTTCGGCTCAGGTCATGATCCCAGGGTCCTGGGATCGAGCCCCGTGTCTGGCTCCTTGCTCGGCAGGAAGCCTGCTTCTCCCTCTCCCACTCCCCCTGCTTGTGTCCCTCTCTGGCTGTCTCTCTCTCTCTCTCTCTCTGTCAAATAAATAATAAAAAAGAAGAAGAAGAGAAGGAAGCTGCCGTGTTGTGCCCAGCCTATAGAGAGGGTGGGATACTGAGATACCAGCTGACACAGGCGAGAAACTGAGGCCTCTGCCCAACAGCTTGCAAGCAGATCCTGCCCCAGTCAGGCCGCAGATCGAAGTCCAGCAGAAGATCCAGTTAACCCTTGCCCAGACTTCCAGGGAGAAACTGCGAGCTAATACATGTGTATTGTGTTGAGATATTACATCTGATGTATTGTTATGCAAGAGCAGAGCACTAATGCAGAATCTGTTAGGGGAAAGGTCCTGCAAGGGACTATGAAGGGATGCGGAAAAAGTGTAAGGGATTCCGCACTTCAGGAGCTCCCAGGCAGCCCAAGTGAGAAAGGAAACATGGCATGGTTTCACTCTGACAAAAGGAAAGTCATGTTTCTGAAGAAGCCACTTGGCTCCTGAGTCGAAGAATTTGTCACATGGACTCTAGAGTCTATGAACAGCGTGCAGAGTCTGCAAGGCCCAGACCTACCTGCAGCTCAAGATCCACCCCCTCATTCTGCCTCCCTTCCTGCCTGGCCTCTTGCCACATCACTGCCCTCTTTCTGGACTGCTCTTCTCCCTTCTCTGCTCACTGACTCTTCCATTTCAAGGACCAGCTTGACCTGCGGCCTCTTTTAGGAAGCTTTCTTTAATTCCCTGGCAGAATTAACCACTTCCTTTTGATTTCCCAAATGTTTGTTATCAAAGGCATCATCTTGTATTATTCGTTTCTGATTTTTTTTACTGAGCACCTACTAAGTGCTAGGCCTCCTGTTAGGTGCAAGAGGTCCTGTCCAATATAGTACAGAGCTGTCCTTGGGGACTCAGGCCTGGTGGTGGCAGTACCTGTCCCGGGCCCATCCTTTCCTGCACACAGGCCAGGCCCCACCTCTGCATCCGCGGCGCTCAGCAAACACGGCCGCCGTCTTCGTGTCGATGAAGGCTCTGCAGGCTTTCCTCTGGTATCTCATGAGGGGTTCCTGGCCTCGTGGCAGGCTTTTTGGGGAGTGAGTCAACTGTCAAATACGCTCCCAAGTAGCTGAATCAGTTGGCCATTATGATGTAGTGATGTCCATGGGACCTCCACATTCAACATGTTGGCAGCAAATGTCAGCAGAGATGGACTTAGTTTACCTGTAATTGATATAGGGCTTTGGGGGCTGTTATTAATAGAGTCAGTGGCATTTTAAGGTTGTTCGAGGCTCCACAGTATGGGGAGATTGTGATCTCCTGTGCTGGTGATAGGAGATGTATGCATCTAACTTATCTAAAAATTGAAGGATGTTAGCAGCACGTTAGAAAGAAAGGAGGCCAAGACATGGCCTTATTAGTCCTGGTGGCCTGGCACCTCGGCTAGGAGTTTATAAAATGGGATTTTCAATTCCCTTGTAACCTGTGGCAGCCCTAACTGACATGACTTCGAAGGCCGCTGCCCATGCTGTCAGGTGGAGTTTGGAAATGTCTGAGGGCCCCAGAGGGCACAGACTGGCATTTCGCTGTTGCCAGGGGAGCGGCCGCTCCATCCTTTCACTGTGCACCCCCCCAAAATTTCCGACCAATCCTAGGCAAATGTTTGGTCCCTTGTTTTCCATTTCCAAGCATCCTGGCCCTACGGGAGGGAAGGGATGGTACCCCCAGGCCCCCATCAGTGGGGTCCTAGCAGCCCATCCTGGGGCTGCCCTCCAGACCCTGCATCTTGCTGTATATCTGATGGATTTCTCTGGCTGTGGCCCATCTTGCACCTGGGGCCTCCATTATCTCTGCCTAGAATTTCCAAGCCACTCCCCCAATCCTCCAGTGGGAACTCCCACCCCACCTCCAGACATAGACCAGGGCTTCTAGGGGTCCTTTTTTGGAGTATGATGAGCTTCCTGGAATCTGACCAGAGTTCTGCTTCATTCCCTGGAACTTGTTTACTGTGGACTGTGGCCTCTCCTGGGGGTGGTGGTGAGCCTTCTCCCCAGTGATGAGGAGCCAGCCTCTTGTTTGTTTCCTCACTGCCCCGGTTTGCCCTCCTTCCCTCCTGGGCAGAGCGGATGACCCCCCTTTAATTTCAGCTGTAGGGGAAAAAGTCTCAGGAATGGCCTAAAAAGCTGCCCCTCAGCCCCATAATCTAAAAGACCCTCCCGTGAACGGTGCCCCTTCTAGACTGTCCCCTCCCCCAGCCTCCCTAGAGCTGGACCATTTTTAGGGTCCTATCTTCATACCCATTTTTCTGCTTCATCCATGGAGTTTGGTGACCCGAGTTTTGGCCTGAAGTCTTGGCTGAGGGCCTGGCGTCTTGACTGAGGGCCTGGCATGCTTTGACTCCCCTCTCAGACTCGGCACAAGGTTCTAGAAGGACTGCCTGCTGCTGCACTGTGTGTGTGCCTGGCCCCAAACCCCACTCCCAGGACGTCACTCCACTGAGGCCACACTGAAGACATCTCTCCAGGCTCTGTTCTCTTCCTCAATCAGACAGTTCTGCCCCAGGCAGTTTCCAGCTGATGGTATGGGATTAATAAACACAGCAGGAAGTCTTTGTTCTTAAAAAAGAAAGTTCTCTTTAAAAAAAAAAAAATACTTATGCACACAACAAAACATTCAAAAAGCCAAAAAAAAAAAAAAATTCTCTCCAATACCCGTGTTCTTCAGTTCCATTCTGTACAGGTAACTATTTTTGGTGTTTCTTGTTTCTTCCAGACATTTCTAAGCCCTCACCCTGCCTCGCACCCCATCCCCACCACGGAACAAAAAGCCCTGATTTGGAGTGTTTGCCAATTTTCATGGTGTAAATACTCCCACCATGGCTGATTTCAAGCTACCAACATGATGTCCGTGAATGTGGAGTTAAGAAATAGGCAGGATCAGCTAGGGATGGGAACCGGCTCCAGCTCTCCATGGTAAAATTAGGTGTACATCATTAAACACACAGCCAGACACACACAAATAGAATCATAGGACACCTTCACTTTTCTTCTTACATTGTACTGAACCAACTTCCCGGGAAGATGAAGCCAAGTAGAGCAAGCACCACCGTGGAGCGGATCTATTGACCCATCTGTTCCTCAGAGAAGACGATAGATGGGGAGCGTCTGTCATTGAGAAGCGTGAGGCAGAAAAATACGAGGGGCATCAGGTAAACCACAGGGTAAGAGCTTTTAAGAACCTAGTGAGTGAGGGGCACCTGGGTGGCACAGTGGTTAAGCATCTGCCTTTGGCTCAGGTCATGATCCAGGGTCCTGGGATCGAGCCCCGCATGGGGATCCCTGCTCCGCGGGAAGCCTGCTTTTCCCTCTCCCATGCCCCCTGCTTGTGTTCCCCCTCTAGCTGTGTCTCTCTCTATCAAATAAATAAATAAAATCTAAAAAAAAAGAAAAAGAAAAAAAAGAACCTAATGAGTGAGGTGTCATTTTTGAAGAATAAAAACTTCGGTTTGAGTAAATCTTGAAGGATGGGTTAGCCTGGTGGTGGGTATTGAGGAGGGCACATTCTGCATGGAGCACTGGGTGTTGTGCACAAACAATGAATCATGGAACACTTCATCTAAAACTAATGATGTAATGTATGGGGATTAACATAAGAATAAAATAAAATAAAAAAAAGAAAGAAATAACATCTTAACCTCTAATGGAGTACTTAGGAGTTAAATGAACCCTTCATTCAGGACAGGATTTAAACGGTTCTGCCAGAAACAAACAACAAAACAAAAACAAAACGTTTCACCTACCTTCTTTTAAAAACTTCAAATGATTGATCCAATTTCCCAGCTAGAGAGAATGGAGGAATCTGAAAACCCAGAGAGAGGAGCCAAATGAGGGGCGTCCCATGCAGGCATGTGACCTTGGGCTTCCTCGGTGTTCTTCAGAAGCTGTGGACATCCCAGCCCCGACATCCGCCAAATGACTCACTTTGGTGGCTCCCCACAACTCCCTCTGAGCGCCATTAGGAAACATTTATTTTATTTTGTTTTTGGGGGGGTTTTAAAAAGATTTTATTTATTTATTTGACAGAGAGAGAGAGAGCGAGAGAGGGAACACAAGCAGGGGGAGTGGGAGAGGGAAAAGCAGGCTTCCTGCGGAGCAGGGAGCCCGATGCGGGGCTTGATCCCAGGACCCCTGGATCATGACCTGAGCCGGAGGCAGACGCTTAACGACTGAGCCACCCAGGTGCCCCAAAACATTTGTTTTTTTGAAACCAAGCCCTTGAGAAGGGATTTCAACTCCCTGGGTTTCTGAGTGACTTCCTCTGTGGCTGGCTTGTCCCTCTGCCTCCTGGCACCTCTTGTCAAGCATTTTGAGCTTCCAGCAGTCTTTGTCAGAAAGACGATAATTAGGGCTGGTGTCCACCTGGGCTCCACTGGTCGGGGTTATTGTCTGGAAAGTTGCAGTTGAAATGGAGTTTTGTATACTTCAGAGGACAGAAGGTAACCTTCGGGATCCAAACGGGCATCATGCCATGCTGGCTTCTGTGAGGGCCGCTCTCTAAATCCCAGGAATAGAGAAGGGGATCCATGTTGAGCATTAGAACCACAAACTATTAGTTTATGGGAAAGGAATAGCTTCTAAAGGATCCATCTTGTGCCCAGAACTGAGCAAATGCTAAGACATACAAGTGTATAAGGATCCCTGGATGTCCCCCTCCAGCAGCATTGGGGTTTCCTTTGAAGCATGTGGCTGAACCCCTTTGGGAAGCAATCCTTCAGGCCCCATCTTTTCCAGGGATGTATCTCAGGCAAAGCCATTGCTAATGGGAATATGGGAATCTATAAATGGCTATGTACAGCTGAGAGGAATAGACAAAGTTCGGGAGACTGTGAGGTTGGAACGAGATGGCAGAGAACTGTCTTCTGCTCACCACCATCCATCCATGAGGACAAGGCTGTCTCAGTTTGTTTAGGGACCAGCGGGAGGAGACCTGGATCTTTATGAGGGCCAGACAACTCAGAGATGGCTTCCCTGTGTTGAGAGAGCTCAAGATGGCTAGCCCACCACTTTAACTGGATCAGGGGCGGTGCGGAGAGGGGTGTAAAAACTTAGAACCCAAGATTTGGTGTCTAAAAGCCACAGGCTGCTAAAGAAAAGAGGCTTGCTGTGGGAAGAAAGGTCACAGTCTTTGGATTTAGTCCTCCATGTGGCCGTGTTCTAAGATATGGGTTATTTAGCTCATGGGCAGGTATGTTTCAGAACATCCTTGGGGACAGGAAAAATATACGGTCATTTATTTCTGGGGAGTTCAGGACTGAGGAATTCTCAAGTGGATTTACTCATGTCTCCAGGGCTAGACTTGCATCATTCACTCAGGCCGAGGGCTGGTAAAGCAGAAGACGTCGTTCCTCTCAGTAGACAATCTCTGCACATTCCACCGCCTTCTGCAGGGAGAGCAGAGAGTTTCTTCCAGGGCTGGCCCAAATGAAACTCAGCGTGGGCAGAGGGCTGGCGGGAGTGGGGAACCCAACAGAGAATCAGGGGGGACAGCTTGAAGGACCACGCAGAACACAGGGGGTCCTGCGTGGGTTTGTCATTCAGGATCGAGATGGAGGAAAAGTCGATGCTGCATCACATTCAAGATGATTGGGGACAGAACAGAGTGACTGGAAAATAGGTAAGGAAAATAAATCTGAAAAAATAGCAAATCTGAAAATACCAGATGCTGAGGATATGTGGGAAATGGGTATTTTTTTTTTTAAGATTTTATTTATTTATTTGAGAGACAGAATGAGAAAAAGAGAGCACGAGAGGGGGGAAGGTCAGAGGGAGAAACAGACTCCCCGCCGAGCAGGGAGCCCGATGCAGGACTCGATCCCGGGACTCCAGGATCAGGACCTGAGCCGAAGGCAGTTGCTTAACCAACTGAGCCACCCAGGCGCCCCAGGAAATGGGTATTTTTAAACACTGCTGTTGACAGTATTACCGAATGGCAACACTGGGTAAGCTGAAGGTGTAGGTATCCCAGACCCAGCACGCGCTCCCGGCTGCATCCTTACCAGAGGTCTTTAGCACAAGTGTTCTGGAAAACAAGCGCAAAGATATTTTCTCTTTACAAAGATATTTCTTGAAGTACTGTTCGTAATAGCACAAAAAGTGAAAACAATCTGTCTCCCGCAGAAGAAAGGACAAAAAGAACTCTAACTTGCTCATGGGAGGTATTCTACATTGCAGTTAAAATGAATGAACTAGGTCTTCATGTATCAACATGTAGAATGTCAAAAATATATTGCCTTAGAAAAGCAGGTTGCAAATATGGTATGCACAGTGATTCCTTTTACTTAAAGTTTCAAAACACATTTAAAGAACGGTACTGTTCTTTTCAAAAATGCATTTGGGAGGGGGGCCCCTGGGTGGTGCAGTCAGTTGAGCGTCCAACTCTTGGTTTCAGCTCAGGTCATGATCTCCCCGCATTGGGCTCTGAGCTCAGCGAGGAGTCTGCTAAAGTTACTCTGTCCCTCTGCCCCTCCCATGCTCACTCGCTTTCCCTCGCTCTCTCAATGAATAAATAAATCTTTTTTTAAAATTTTTATTTATTTATTTATTTATTTGACACAGAGAGCACGAGTGAGGGGGAGCGGCAGGGAGAGGGAGAAACAGGCTCCCCGCTGAGCAAGGAGCCCAGTGTGGGACTCGATCCCAAGACCCTGGGATCATGGACCTGAGCCAACAGCAGATGCTTAATTGACTGAACCACCCAGGCGCCCCTCAAGTGAATAAATAAATCTCTAAAAATTTTAAAAAGTAAAGAATTATAATTCATTTAGGGGTGCTTGGCTGGCTCAGTTGGTAGAGCATGGGACTCTTGACCTCGGCGTTGTAAATTCCAGCCCCACACTGGGTGTAGAGATTACTTGAAAATAAAATCTTTCACAACAACAACAAAATGCATTTATAATATGTAGCAAATAACAGAAACATACACGGGGGTCATTTTCACCCACCTCAGGGAAGTGGTTACCTCTGAGAAGGAAGGAAAAGCCACACAGGGCTTCAGCTATTTTTGTAGAGCTTTATCTCTTAAAAAAAATAATATGAAGAAAATAAGGCAAACATCTGTCTAATCTCAGTGTCTATCTTCCGATGTCCCTCCATATTACATTTTATACTTGTGGTAGGCTGAATAATGGCCCCAAAGATGTCCCTCTATGTCCTAATCCGCGGAATCCATGCATACTCTACCTCATGTGGTAAGAGGGACTTTGCAAGTATGAGTAAATTAAGGATCTTGAAAGAGGGAGATTATCCTGAATTATCCTGGGCCCAGTGTAATCACCAGGTCCTAATAAGAGGGAGGCAGGAGGGTCAGTCAGAGAGAAGAGATGGGACGGTGGAGATAGAGGTTGGAGGGATGTGCTTTGAAGATGTAAGAAGGGGCTACTAGCCAAGGAATGCAAACAGCCCCTAAAGGCCAGAAAAGGCTAGACAACAGATTCTTCCCTGAAGCTGCAGAAGAAATGCAGCTCTGTCAGCATCTTGGTTTTGGACTCTGACACCCAGAACTGTAAGAGAATAAATCTGTGTTGATTTCAGCCACTAAATGCATGATAACTTGGCAGAGTAGCAATGGAAAACGAATGTTTCACAATGCAAAAGTTTGTTTGCTTTTCTTTTATGATAGTAAGTTAGAAGAAGGGTAGTAAAGCCTAAATCCCTTCTTCCTGTACCTCCTCCTTCAGAGGAGGTTGAGCTATTCAGGAATGCTCCTCATCCCCCAGCCTCTATATTTAGGAGACTGAACTGTGTGCCCATCTCAGTTAGGCCCTGGAGTTTCTGGAAGCCCTAGCTGTCAGAACATGTCCAGAGCATTGGGGTGAGCCACACCCCAGGAGAACTTCAGGAGCTGGTTCCTCCCTCCCTGGAAGGTAAAGCTGCCAGAAGCCCACAGACATCTGAGGTGCCTTCACCCCTCGACTTGGGTCAGTGCCCTCCCGGGGGGAGTTCAACAGGGGGATGCAGCTGAGATCTGACGGGAGCAGGTGTGAAGTCTGGCCAAGGAGACATTTGTTGAAGAAGCTGACTGGAAGAGAGACTGAGAGGAGAGGGGGTTAAAGGCATGTAATGATCCAGAAAGACTTGTTTTCAGGAAGAGAAACACCTGGGTATATCTGTGTGCGTGTGTGCATGTGGGTAGGGGGGTGGTGGGGGGAGAGAAGCTGGAGAGGGGAGTTGGGGGGTAGTGGAGGCCAAAGGCTGTGGGGTAGGCTGAAGGGTCCAGAACGCGGCACAGGCAGAGGAGAGGCCTGGGGTGGGAGGAAAGATGGTTCTTCTTTTTCCAGATCTGGAAACTAGGTGGGAAATACATGGACAAGAGTCTGGAAGGACATGACACACACCCACCTCAGAGTTGGTCTGGGGTGGGAGTGGGGGGACAAGGGAGGGTCAAGAGGCTTCACTCCATCTGGGTCTCTTGAATTGTTTTATAGTAAAGGTGCATTCCTGCACTACTTGTGAAATTAAAAATAAACTTAAATAAAATTAGACCCTATGAACATCACAGACAGTTGTTCACAGAAGGGGCAGACAGGTGTAGGATTCACTGACGGGGTAGCCTGGGGTGTCAGGATTTGGCCAAGTTTAGGGGGCACCTAGGGGGGAAACGACAAGGGAGTAAAGGGAACATCTGACAAGCCTTGAAGGTGGCAAGACCCCGAGGCCAGAGCGAGGCCCGTGCCGGAGAGGAACCCGCAGCTGAGGAGATGCCCATCTGATGCTTCAGGGTCTCTGGGAGGCATTTTATTTTATTTTTATTTTTTTAAAGATTTTATTTATTTGAGAGAGAGAGAGAATGAGAGACAGAGAGCACGAGAGGGAAGAGGGCAGAGGGAGAAGCAGACCCCCCGCTGAGCAGGGAGCCCGATATGGGACTTGATCCCGGGACTCCAGGATCATGACCTGATCCGAAGGCAGTCGCTCAACCAACTGAGCCACCCAGGCGCCCTGGGAGGCATTTTAAAAGCACAGACTCTACCCCCAGCCTCACCCCGATGCTGAGTCAGGAAGTCTGCCGGGGGGGGGGGGGGCAGGGGAGGGGGGCTCTGGAAATCTCATTTGTTTCAAGTTCCCCAGAAGTATCTGATGAGTAACCAGGTGATGGTCCACCTCTGTAAGGGTTCTGCAGGGGACACAGGCTGGGGGACTGCCACGAGGGGAGAGCTCCAGGCTTTACACAAAGCAGAGGAAAGGTGTTGGCCGGAGCTCTTATAAACAAAAAGTCCACTAGAATAAACTGGAGGTTCTTTTTTTTGACACAGAAAGAGAGAGCACAAGCAGGGGGAGCGGTAGAGGGAGAAGCAGACTCCCGCTGAGCAGGGAGCCCGACATGGGGCTCCATCCCAGAACCCCGGGATCATGACTTGAGCCAAAGTCACTCAACCGACTGAGCCACCCAGGAGTCCCTAAACTGGAGGTTCTAAGTGCCGTGGTTTTTCATTGGCTGAGTTGTGGCAGCCCCTCATTGGCTGGGCTGTTGCTGGGCAAGGAGACAATCCTTCCTCCTCCTGGGGGTAGTAAAGCATGGGCTGCTTCCTGTTGGGAATGCAAGGTTCTGTCTGTTCTGCTGGGGTCTACGATCAAGGACTTGGGGTAGGGTGGGAGAGCTCCCAGTTCTGGCCCAATGACTCCATTTTATTTATTTATCTATCTATTTATTTATTTCAGTTATTTATTTATTTACTTACTCATTTATTTTAAGTAATTTCTGCTTCCAAAGTGGGGCTTTGACTCAGGAACCCAAGATCGAGAGTCACACACTCCACTGACTGAGCCAGCTGGGCATCCCCAACCGATTCCATTTTAAATGAGGTTTCCTTTATTCAATTTCTCAGGGAAAATCTGCTCTCATGGCCACCTTGAGTATGCAGCTATCCTGCAGGGGTGAGGATTGCTGGAGAGTCCAGAGCCACATTAAGGAGCTCTATCAGCTCATAGAGGATGGTTCAGGTGATGTGACAACTTTTCTATAAAACGGTATTCTCCAGGTCGATTTTCCTTTCCAAGAGACCTTCACCCTGGAAGGACTGGGACAGCCCCTCACCATGGCAAGAGCAGGTGGGTGATGGGGGAGTCACGTGGACCCTGATGCAATCTTTTGACACCATCTCCTCCTATAAAGGACTTCTCACCCCAGACACATGGCTCAGCATCATGGCTCTCGTTACCTGTAATCTAACCCGCAAGCTCCTTCCCAAAAGCTTCCCTCCTGCTTTCCTGCCAACTTCTCTCCACACAGTGTCCTTACCCATCTCCACAACCTCACTCAACCCAAGGTGCCACACACTCAGAATGAAAAACTGAAGGGGAAGACCCTTCCATGGGCCACAGGGCCAGGGAGGGGCTGAGTTAACCCTCAGACTCACCCTAGCTCAAAATATTTCTTTTCTTTTCTTTCCTTAGATTTTATTATTTTATTTTATTTTATTTTTTTTTAAGATTTTATTTATTTGACAGAGACAAAGCGAGAGAGGGAACACAAGCAGGGAGAGTGGGAGGGGGAGAAGCAGGCTTCCTGCAGAGCGGGGAGCCCGATGTGGGGCTCGATCCCAGGACCCTGGGATCATGACCTGAGCCGAAGGCAGGCGCTTAACGACTGAGCCACCCAGGCGCCCCCTTAGATTTTATTTTTAAGTAATCTCTATACCCAGTGTGGGACCTGAACTCACAACCCCCGAGATCAAGAGTTGCATACTCCACCAAATGGGCCAGCCAGGCACCCCAGAATAGCCAGAATATTTCTTATTAACTGCATTTTTTATTAAGGTAGTAAAATACAAAATAACATTCTGGCATAGTGTGTTCAGAACTTAAATAAATACAATATAAACAGCACCGCTGGGGCACCTGGGTGGCTCAGTCTGGTAAGCATCCAACCCTTTTTTTTTTTTTAAGATTTTTTATTTGACAGACAGAGAGAGCGTAAGAGAGCATGCATAAGCAGGGGGAGCGACAGGCAGAGGGAGAGGGAGAAGCAGGCTCCCCGCTGAGCAAGGAGCCTGACTTCTGCTCTATCCCAGGATCCTGGGA